CAGCAACCCGGCCCCCGGCTCAAAAAGGTTGCCTACCACTGGTCTAGATTGACTCAAGGGCAGTTAACAACAACAAATTGGTCTTCTGGAGGTTCTGGAGGATGATATTGGTAGAGAATTTTAGCTCTGCAATGTTCAAAAAAGTGAGTTATACAGGAGTTAGTTGGACTTACGTAAACCTTTGTAAGTCACTAAAACGATGTCAGCCTCTCATTACAAGTAAATACTTTACTTCTAAGGCTGACTCCACATTGGTGCCTCAACAAACTATAATCCCCAGAGCCATGACAGATAAAGTGGTGTCAAACTGGATTATTACTGCAATGCATATCCTGCCTAAGACATCAATTCCAAGTGTTTTTTTTTTTAAAGCTACTGATCATGTGGGAGGCAAAAGGAACTTGATGCAAGGGTTTTCTTTGAGAAATCCTAGTTCATTCTCATGTCTATTCCCAACCTCAGCCAATATTGTGCAGCAATAATTTACATTTAATAGCAGCTGCTGGTTTCCATGTTAGTGGAGTGGTTAATTTCTTCTGGGTTTTAATCCAAACTTTCATGGAATGATCTGGGATGCTGAGTGATATCAGCTAAATAGGTTCCAACCCTTGGATAGGTCTTTAAGGTATTGAGTAGAAACTATACCGGGTTCAGTGCTTCCCCGAGACAGAAGCCATCACCACTGTTGGGGTTTCAAGCTGGTTTTGCATTCAAACCATATGCTCTACCCTACGGTCAGTTTTCATCATAAATGATGCATACTCTCCAAGATTTCTACCCTATGGTCACTTCATCATAAATGATGCATACTCTCCAACATTTCAAAGATGAAAATCAGAACCTGTGTGGCCAAGCAACATCAGAGTGTAGTCAAGATGACAAAAATTATTAATGAGGAAAAACTAACAAGCTAGGACAGGCTGCAGCAGTTTGTTTTTACCTGAGTCAACAGGGAAGAGCAAGATTCTTCTCCCTACTGTCTTCTCTCTGCTGCTAAATTAATCAGCACAAACTACTTTTTCACTTTGAATTCAGTTTGCAGCCATGGAAGTAGGCTGGGTTCAAAGGAGGACTGTGGGAGTTGAATAGAGAAACATTTTAATAACAGCTGAAAAGTGAGACAACAGAAGATGAATCAGGACTGTCCGTTCTAATCAGGATAATCGGAGGATATGATGTCAGTCAAGTGACCTATTTCTTTAAGAAG